TCAGCAGGCACAAGGCACACCAGGTCCGGGCACACCGAGCTGTGCGTGTCTCCAGTTTTGCTTCACACAGAACTGAAAGGGAAGACCTGAAGGAACCTTGGGCAGCTACTGCTCTCGCCCCGCTCTGAAGCTGGGTAAATACCCCTCTACCAGCAATGGTATTTGTCTAACCTGTTCTTCAAAACCTCCCCCAACCAAGACCCAACAAGCTAACTAGCCTGTTCCATTATCCTCATTACAGATTCTTACAATAAAACAAACAAACAAGGCAAGCACCTCAAATCTTCCTGCTGGAAATTAATCCCACCCCCAGGACCATGGGGAGTAATTGGCCACAGACACCTTTTATCCACTTAGCATTCTGAAAAAGTATCCTCACGGTTCCCCACCCTTTAATGATTTCTCTTTCTCTAAATAAACCCTAATCACCTCATCTTCTCCTTACGGAACACATTTTTCAAACGGTTCATCCTCCTTCTCTGGAATCTCTCCTGTTTATCTCTGCCTTTAAATGGGATGCTCAAAACTGGACACGATGCTCATTCCCGATAAGGCCTCACCCGCGGTCAGAGTGGAAAATCGCCTCCTGTATCTTGCATGCACATCTCTGTTACAAGATCCAGGAATATTTACAGCAGGATCTTGCTGTAGCTCGGCACTTGGCTTAAACACAGGCAAAATAACTGCAGGAGAGAGCGCAGGAGCAGCGGCTGCCTCCCACGAAGATTTTCCAGCCCAACTGCTGGAAACTGCTGGCCTTGCCCTGTACCTCCCTGAACCGTGCACAGAAAAGTACTTCTAGCACCACAACTTGCATGTGACATTACTCAGAATTCCTTTCACCATTTACCCAGCATAAAAAGATGTTCCTGGCCTGCAAGGCTTTGCTAGCTGTTGGTGTCATGCGCACAGATTTGAGCTGCACTTTCTACTCCATCACCTAAATGATTGAGAGACGCAGCAAAATGAGCCCTGCAAGGCCTCACGTGAAGCATCTTCTCTCCTGGACAACAAACCAGAGAGGGACGAGCTGAGCAGAGCAAAGCGAGTTACTCTGAGCACAACGGCAGCAGCAAAGCCACTGTCTAGGCTAGGAGGTGCAAGAACCTCATGAAGAGGAAGGTCAGCAGCCTTCCTAGAACGAAGATAATTACATCAACCACTTCCTCCTTGCACTCGCACGCTCCTTCAATGGCTATTTCAAGGCCAAAGAAAAGTTGAACACAAGCAGGTTCTAAAACTGTATTGAGGGATATTCAATAACAGTTCACTTCTGAATTAAATACCCCTCAAGACATCATATCCATCTGTTTAACATGAAGACATGAGTTTGGAGACCAATGCTATGTATAATGTCAGAAAATGCCAAATGCTTTCCTGTAGGCACAAGAAAAAGACACTAAAATTTCTCCAAGTACAAAAAAACCCAGCAAATTATCCCCATCAAGTCCATTCTGTATCTTTAGAAAAGTCTGAGAGCAGCCAGCAAGAGAGCATCACAAGATGCAGGGAACAGCAGCAGGGTCCAACTTTCAAATGGCAGAAGGCGGGAGACATTACAACAACAAAAAAAAGAAGAGACTTCTGAAGGACTGCACATATTTTCCCATGATGATGGCTCTAGGAGAAAGATTCCTCTTTAATTCACTGGAGTTGCTGGAAAAAAAAAGCCAACTGAAAGCAAGTCCTTCTAGACTTCCAGAAGAGCACCTAAACATCTGTTCTGTGAAAGCCAGCAGTTATAGGAACAGGACAAAATATACATTAAATATAGAACTCCAAAGACGTGTTTTTATTTCTGTCTGCTCAAAATTAATTCCCTTTTCTGTTCCTGAATAACTGACCCAGGCAACCAATTCCTCTTCTCACTTTTTACTTCTGCTTACAATTTCTATCTCGCTTATCAGCTACCAAAAACAACATTTCCTCCTTCCACGCCAGAGCTGCACAGATAAAAGAATTCCCTAGCATAAACTATCCACAGCTAAAGCAGTAATTAGGGATAACGGAGAGAAGCCCTAAGGAGGGCTCAGAGCGGGCTGGGGGTCGTGGCCATCCCGGCAGCAGCTCTGACCAAAACCCAGGCGCGCCGCCACGTTGCTTCCGCTGCGGCCGCCCGTGCAGCTGGCGCGCGTTCCACCGGGCGTTTGTGTAAAGGAGCGTTGATCCCCCGTGCTAGGGAAGACAAAAAAAAAGAGGAAGAAGAAACGGAGACGGACGCAGAAAGGAGCTTCTAATAGTGTGCGTTTGTAAGAGGATGAAAAATACGCAATACTAACAAATAAATAAAAGCCTTATGCGCTAATTCAGCTGCAAGCAAAGTAGAAGGAAAAAAAAATATTGAAACAAGGGGCAATATTTTCCAAGGGCTCTTCAGATGGCGCTCGTTTTGACTGACCTTCCACTCCAAACACTTGCACTCTGCTTCTCACTGGCGCAGCAAAAAATAAACAACTAAAAAGCGCCTTAAAACAAAGATGAAAAATTACAAAGCACACGGATTTTGTACCTAATACTTCCAATATCTTCTACTACTACGTCCTAATAGCTTGTTCCATGGAAGGGTATTTCCAAAGGGTCTCTGGATCGCACATGGATGCACTAGGGACACTGCAGACTTCCTTCTGCACCATAGGCAGCAGTGAAACCACTTATAAAATACACCAAAACAAAAAGGAAACAGAGGGGAGAAAGAGAGGAACTGCTCCCCTGCTTTCTGTCCAAATTCTCATAGGTATTTTTTCTTACTCTACACACGACAAGATTTGTGGAAGAAACTGATAACTGAAAGTACCTCCTTCTCTTTAACCGGCTATTCCACCAACTTCTCATCAGCTTCTCTCCCCCCTCCAAAATGCAGAGCTATTTCATGGAAGCAGTTACCCAGATACTAAATTCACTATGGAAAACTGCACGTGGGTTCTGTAAGACTCGTAACTTCCTACTGACCTTACCAAAAATCCCCCTGGCGCTAGAAAACCTCAAGCAGAAGAACATTTGCAAGGGACCAGGGGATTTATTCTCAAATAAATCCTGCAACAAATAGGTAGCCCCTCTTTGACAGAGGTCAATAAACCGCATGCAAACTGTGCATTACACACTGTACAACTCGGTTTTATTTCCCAAGACAATCCTAACTGAATGTACAACAAACTTGCTCAGTACTTCAAAAAAAAAAAAAAAATCAAGGATATTTTATATGGATCTGGTTCTCAAATGCACTATCAAAAGTATTACCTTTCTTTTCATCTTTAAATATACGTTTCTTTACGCCCCACATCCCTACAGAAAGCTGAAGGATCCCACTGCAAGTTATGCCATAAGCATCATATTCATAACTAATCTAGAAAAGATACCCATTTACAGTGAGTTAATCCAACGGCAATTTCTACTAAACACACTGCATCTTTCAAAGCCTGAAATGCAGGTTCCCTGCCTCCATCAATGTCAACTATCCCCATAACGTTTAAAACTTCTTCTCAACTTCACAAACACTGGCCAGTGGGTGATCAAAGCAGAATTCACACTGAAAAAAAATGAAATTGGTTCATGGTGAGAAAAAAAAAAAAACAAAGTCAAAGAAGACCAGAGTACCAGGACACTGAGAAATGCTCCTCCTAGGGTTTGCTTCCAAAGCGAGAACCTGCTGTGTAACACACACTCTGGAGCTCAGCGACCGAAGGACGAGGTAACAGCAGTAACACGTGGCATCTCCTACGTGTCAGTAGGAGCCTCCCCTGCCATGGGAAAGCTGGATCGCTGCGAGGCGCCAGCACATGAGCAGGGAGCACGGCTTTCCCTGAAGGACTCCCGGTTACAGCGGGAGCCTTCCAGGTCCTTGCTCCAATAAACGCCGCAGCACCGAGAGCGTCGCCGAATGCCTGCCGAGAGCTCAGGGCTGCGTTTCACTGCCGCTTCCTACTTCTCTTCGTCCGTCAAAAAATCAGTAAGATAGAACAAAAACAGTGAGGGAAGCCAAAGCAGCGGTCAGGAAGGAGCGAATCCCTTGGCCAGAGGCAGCCGGCTCCTACGGGGCGACGCGGGCGGCACCAGCAGGACACGCAGCCCCCGGCACGCACAGTTGCGCACCAGGGCACCCCGAGCTGTGCAGGTGGGAGAGCGCTGGGGAAAGGGCAAATCGAACAGCCAAGGTGGCCAGCAGCACAAAGGATTTTTCCCCCCATTCTGAAGGCAGTAACATGAGCTGATGGCTTCGATAAACCAGGGTGCATCTCACTGCCGGAGGCAGAGGAACGCTCTGCACCCCGCATCCTGGTCGCGCTTTTCCGCGCAGGCTCAGAGCAGGAGCCGGTGGCACCGCAGCCACGGAACTCGCCGGGATGAGCGCGCCAGGAAAAGGAGGCGGGAGCCGCTCGGGCTCGGCCGCAGACGGGCTCTGCTCCCTTTGCAACGATAAGGGCTCACTGCATTGCGGGATAAGCACAGACAACGTTAGGCTTCAGCAAGGCCTAACGCTTCAAACTGCTGCTCGACTGGGGACACACAAACAGTCAAGCCCTGAAAAGTTACCTCTAATGCACGCTCTGCCAGATCAAGCGTTGCCACTAGACAGGTCTTTATATTTTTCTTTTAATCCAACACATAAAAGTGAATTGAAACAAACCTTTTAAGTGTTATTCCTTCTACAGTCTCAGTGCCCCATGGAATGCAAGAAAATACCCCCGAAAATTAAGGAGAGGGGGAGACAGTATTTTAGCTTGGACTTGCGTACCCATTCATTCTGACATTTTCATATCCTTGGGAATTAAGTTGTTGCTATTCCCCTCATATCAGAGCACAGAATGGGGAAAAGGGCAGGTCACCAACGAAGGACACGGGAAGGATCCTGCAAGTCCCGTCCTGGGGCCCTGGAGACCCGGCTCAGCACCCCGAAAGAGCAGCTCACGAGTCATGAAGCAGCGACTCCTCTCGCT